GGGGGCGGCAGTAATACAGGGCAGGAAGGGAGAAAGTGCGAGGGAGGGATAGGTTCTCAGCTCTTCTGAAAGGTGTTTCCTGAGGAACCGTGGCGTTCAGGGACGTCTTCGGTATTACGCATGGGAATTAATCCTTGGTCTCTCAATAACGAGATAAAATATTTATTTTGAATCAGATTACTGGTTTGTGAGGTGATCTCCTACGTCCTTACGGCAAATAGTCTCACAAGTGGGAAAAGGGAGACAACACGTCCGAAACTCACAGCTTGCATTGGAGCTCAGGACTGAGCTGGGGTCGCAGCAGCTGGCCAGCTTCTTTCTCCTCTGAGGGCTGGCAGGTGATGAAGTCAGGCACACAAGCTTTCACTGCCTCGTGGTGTCCTTCTGTGATAGGAGTTAAGTAATAGTTTTACTGCATCCCTAGTGAAGCCAAGTACTTTAAACAGGAGAGGTGGCTGGGGCGAGGCCCTGTGACGCCAGGGGACGTATGATGCAGTGAAAGTGTCTCCCCAAGTGGTGAACGGCAAAATTTTGCTAGGCGGATGAGGGAGCAAGAGAAGGGAATCGATAGACTCGGTGAACTAGGAGGAGAAAAAAGGAAAAAGTGATGCAAGGACATTGAAAGAATGAAGAATCAAATACATTCCTTTCCTTAGACAGTGCATGTTGTGCAGAATCTGCCAGCCTTGGTATGGTGTTAGGGCACGTGTGTCCCCTCCCTTTTTTTTTTTTTGCATTAGACTATACCATACTTGCATGCCATTATTTGCATCTCAGAAGCCTTAATTGTTACTCTACTGGTAGCCAGCTGATCTGCTTTCTGCAAATGACGGTGTAGATTCACAGTCTAAATCCACTATTACAAATTTTAGTTCATTACAGAGCTAAATAGTTACAGTTTTTTGTGTATGATGTATTTGGCTCGTTCTTTCTGGTATACTCATTCTCTGCAAACCTGAACACTGAGAAAGGAAATGTTTGTCTAACTAAAGTAAATATACTGTACACGTGATCAAATTTGACCTCTGAATTATATCTGGACTTCCCACTCAGTGTTTTCTTACTGACCTATACAAGTCAGCTCAGAAATCTTACTGCCTCCTTGTGTAGTGCTCAGTAATATTTTCCTCTCTCTTGTTTAACATGTTTCTGTCAGACTTTGTGCAAGCTATCAGCTCCCTAGCTGGCAGCAAACACTCTCCCTCAACAGGGAGCTTTATGAGCTTAGGCCTGTGCACCTGACTTGCGGTTGCCTTTGCATATCTGACAGGTGAGGCAATACCAAGCAGTTTTCTTTTTCTGATTAATTTGCCTTTTAATTTCAGCTGTGTTGCAGGCCCACGATCCGGTCCTAGTCTGTTCTGTTCCTTGTTGGAAAGCCTGTATTCCTGTTCTGTCATCCTGAGCTTTGGTCTAGCTTTTAACTGTGATCTTATGTTGAGTGCTGGACTAGCATACTGCTTGGCATCTTCAGCTCCGCCTCTGACCAGGATCTTGGCTACTCCTTCAGAATAGTTTATCTTGGCTTCTTTGGCTTGTGCCCTCACCAAGATACAGTATTAATGGAAAATTTCATTATTGTACACTGCATAAATACCACTACGAAACATAATGCAACCATGAGAATAAAATTTAAAATCACACCTATCTTGGAGAAACTGAAGGACTTAAAGAGGAGAAATTTCAATCAAAAGCTCCCATGCTTCTAGATCTTTCTGTTGAAGAAGTGTTTTATAATTGTAGTCATATCATATTCAAATTTAGCATCCTTGTAGAAATGAAAAAAAATTAAAAATCTTCAATAGGAATGACTAGCTTTGGAAAGCAGAGCTATGCAAACCCAGGAGGTTTGTCAAAAGTGTTTAAGGGGCTATAACACTTCTGTATAATGTGGTGATTGTTTCAAGATAGCCTATTAGAAGCTCAGTGTATGGATGGGTCACTACTTCTCAGACACACTCTAGAAGTACCTGAAAAATGGCCAATGTCCTTTCACAGAGTCAGAGAGGCTATTTTAAGGTAAAAGCCATCATCATAAGATACGGAAGTTGTGTCCAGAGAAAGAAAACAGAAAGGGCAATCTGTCAAGTTAAATGTAGAACTACTGTGTGGCAGACCAAAACGGTCCTGAAGAGAAACTTGCTGAAGGCATGCAAAAATGTTCACATGCATTAGAATTAATATCTGATCACCTACGTAAAAAGGAGCGAACAAGGAGAAACGAAGCTGTAGCAGAAGAGGTGATGTATTTTTATTCACTGCAGAAGATTCACATGAGAGCCTTCTCTTGAGGAGGCAGAGGGCGTATGTCAGAGGAGCATGAAACATCAGTAGAGTTAAAGCCACGAGGTGTCTAAGAACCGATTTTCAGGACCAGAACACAAGATTTTAAAGGACTCAGACGTGACATTTCTTAGCAACGAGCAGTGGTTCTAGTTAGGTGGCCAAGATGATGTCAATTTAACTGATCCACTCTGTGAGTGATCTCAAGAACTTACAGAACAGAAGCCTTACCAGACAAGTTGATTGAAGCTACAGGTACTAAAAAGAGTAGATCAGTGGATAAACAAGATCTACGTGGAAAGTCAGCATAGATCTTTCGGAGAACAGTCAGTTCCCTTGGTTTTACTAAAGGCTTCTGAAGGAGGCAAAAAGCTTAAGATTGATTGGCTCATCCTAATGCACTTAGGTAAGAAAGTTTTTATGAGGTCCCTTGCTAAAGGTTCTTAAGCTACCATAAGGTGAGAGGAAAGACTTCCTCATGAATTAATAATTAGTTAACTAAAAGATAGGAAGAATGAATAGGAGTAATTAGTTTGTTTTCACAAAATTTACTAGTGACATGACAGTTTAAGGAAGGCCTGTTTTTTTCCCCCACATAATTCATAAGTGATCCGAGGAAAAAAGTGAATAATGAGGCAATGTAATTTGTGGAAGCTATGTATCATTTTTCAGGATAATCAAGACTAAAGTTGACTAGAAAGGGATGCTGAATTTCATGGCACTAGGTAACAGTAAATATAAAAGCCAGAGGAATGCAATTTTGATAAATGTCAAGTAGTGCATACAGGAGAAAAAGTGACTGCAGCGCAACATACACCACAGTGGGCTCTTGGCTATCTGAAAACCTCAGCTTTCTCCTCACTGATATTCGAAAAAGGGATGGGGAAAGTGAAATAAATACTAGGAATTAATAGGAGAGGAATTAAGAATAAAATAGAAAACACTGTCAATGTATAAATCCGCAGCGCTTCTGCATCTTGAACGCTGCAGTTCTGATCGCAAGGTTATGAAAAGGTTACGAAAAGAGAAATGAGCAGGAACGATCAAAAGTACGGAATGGCTTTTGTATAAGGAGTTTGGAAAAGATCATAAGGAGAAGCACTGTGATAAAGATATTTAAAAAGGCGAATGATATGGAGAAGGTAAGATCATTTAGTGTTTCTTATGCTAGTAGGACTAA